AGCAGTGTGAAGAGAGGCAGTAGGAAAAATCAGAAAAGTAATAGCCTTTTTAAACCTACATTTTTAAGTCTTTTCTGTAAGAAACTCTTCTAAATGGCTGTTATTTGATCGTACATGAAAGAGAGGTGCTGTATCTCAGAGCATGAAATGTCCATCTGGACTATTTGTAGTTGAGACCTTTCCGACACCCAATTTAGATACACTTGAAGTCAAATGGGGACAAGCTGTGTTTCTGGAAATACGTAAAGATCTCCAGCTGATGTCCTCCTTCTCTTACGTTAGAGCCAGGACTTCATCATGTAGTGGCAAAAATGAAAGGAATGGAGGCGCATGTCTCTGCTGCTGGTGCGATAGGCAGCTCGCAGCCGTGGTGCTGCGTCTTGCCACTGGACTGGCTGTGGTCCTGTGGCTCTCTCCTCTGGCCACCCAGTGAGTGGCATGCGTGCTACCAACTGCCAGGGAACGTTTATCAGAACGTTAAGTGCTGTGAGAACCTCAGTCTGCATAAGGATGTGCTGTAACTGAAATGGAGAGGATACTTAACGCGGCTGCAAACAGTGAAAACCCTTTTTGTTAACCTTTCCATGTATGTCTTTGTACTCTTCACCTTCTTTTTAATTTAGCTGCTAGCTTGAAGTACAGACAGGCTATTTGTCATTGTCAGTTATTTCAGTGTATCTACTTAAGCACAGCTCTTCAGCACTGCTTTGTGTGCACATGGTTCCTCTGAGCTGTCCTTAGATACGGTTGTTCTTCAGAGGTGGTATGTAATTGAGGTATCCAGTCATGCTTCTTACAGGAGGCAGCTTCTTCCTGGGCTTTTCTACAGCTTAGTGGCAGAGGGCAAGATTCCCACTTGTAACTGAGTCTTGGATCTTTATCTAGGTCTGTACAAACTTGCTTTTCAACATGCTGCTCTATGCTGACATCATTAATTATGATGTGGAGAAGAAACAGTTTTACTGGTGGTGTTGGAGGACGTGACCTTGGGAAAAGGGAGCTTTGGTCAGGTTTGAGATCTGAAATGGACAAAGGGACACTAAAACATTTAAGTTAGTATCTAGCTATACTCCTGGACTTACACAGTCCCATTGAAAGAACAGTTATTTTGTACATGTATGAAGGTGGGATTGGCTTTTACGTCTGAAGCTGGTGGCTCATGTAGAAAAGCTCAGATTTATTTCATCCTTCACAAGTAGTAACTTTACTAGATGTGCAGGTGGAATGAAACTCATGTGAAGTGAGCACACTTTAGACAGAGGCATTCAGACATAATACAGTCATAGTATCACTGATTTTACAGACAGAAATACAAACATTTTTATGTTTCAAACAACTACTACTCTTAAGTTATAGGACAGGGAAGCACTCTGTAACCCACAGGAAAAAAAGTCTTAACTGTGAGTTGCAGCTCAGAATAAGGTCCTGACTATAAACATTTCTGGGTTGTGGCAAGAAATATTGAAAGGGGAATCCCAGCCCGGAGACCACTGGTTTTGTTACTCTCTCTTGGACAAAGTCTATCTTGCTTGGCAAATGATTCTGTGCGTTGATACAGCTTAGTTGATCTGGGTAAAGTGTGCTGCTGGGAAGGCTGAGCTCTTGATCTGCTAATTGATTTCCTTAACTCCAGTACTTTTGGGAATTACATTTGAGCAGATCAAGGATCAGTGAGCCAGGGGCAGTCAGGAGTTGATGGGAAAGTGGAGAGGTGCCTGAAGCCTCAGTTCTTGCTCACTGTGACACCTGCAGCAGGGATCTGTTATGCATGATGGCTGTCACAGCCAGAACAAGCTAAACTCAATTTCTGCCTCATAGACACTGTTCAAATAGCAGGTGTTAAGCTTATTAAGTGGAGAAGATCCAAGTGATGCTATCTGCTTCTGATCTAATTGTTCTCCAGGAGAGAGAGCACATTAATAAGCTTGCAACGGCTTCTGCCTTTTGGCAAGTAAGTGGGTCATTTCTTCCTTCAGCCAGCTAAGGGTGAGGGAAAACTGTCACTGCTAAAGCTAATGCAGCTTTTATTCGAGATTAAGCAAGGGATCTGTTGAGACTTTTTTTAGCCTTGGTGTGCTTATAAGGCAGACAGCCACAAGAAGAGCGTTGAGGACATTTTTACTGTAAGAGTCATGCTGCCACATAGGAAAAAAGTTAAAAACCTTCCTGCTTCTTCCTATGAAAAATATTTAGTGTACTGATATTTATAGCAGGCAAAAAAAGCACTAGTGCTGCAAGCTGGCCTCTTCCTGCATAAAACAAAGCAGGAGCAATATTTCACTTCACTTTCCCAATAGAGACTGTCTCCAAAATATGTCTTATGGCAAGAACTGGAATAAAAGGGTGAAGCTGACTGGGAAGTGACCAGTTAGTTTCTGTGTCTTGTCTACCTCTTATTAAAATACAGCAGAAAGGGTTCACCGTTGTGCTATAGCAGGGATGAATATGATAATACCAAGAATTGCCTTATGATGGGGAGAGCCCCCATCCTTTTCACAGTTATTCTACCCTCCCCTCGCCTTCAAAATTACCCTCTAAGGACATGAAGCAGTGAACGTCTACTGTCACGTGTCCAGGGTGAAATAAGAATTCCAGGCCTTTGCAGTTCAGGAGAGCTCTGCAGTGATGGCAGTATCTCACAGATCACACTGTTTCTCCACGGTTTGGTTTTTTTGGTAGAAGAGTTAGCACTGAAAGCAAGGGGCTGAGTAAAACGGCCTAAGAATCAACCAGATACCAGATAGCCTCACCCTCTGAGAGTGATGGTAGGAGCTTGGTAGCTGTGGGAGTTTAGCTCCTGCTGATAAACAAAGCCTGCCATAATCGGTGCTGTGGCTCTGTGCCCTGGAGTGGGGGTATGTGTGGAGTGGTGCCACACTGATAGATACCCTTGGCAGGCCTTGGGAAAACAGAGCTGCTTCTGCAAAAATGAAACTTGGGGCTTTTTGGTGGTGGAGGATTTTTTTTGGTGGTGTTTTTTTGTTTGGCTTTGGCTTTTGTTGTTTGTTGGGGTTTTTTTTCCCCCCAGATAAGACGTCCAAGTACAGTATTATCCTTGTGCTCAAGTCCCACCTTTCTAGCCCAAGTGTAGTTGCTTCTAGAAACTGCCAGAAGGGTCTGAATGGAAACTTCAGCTCCTGGTGTGACTTCCTGTGGTAAATAAACAAGGATTTGAATTGTTAAAGGTCTTGCAGGTCTTGGGGTGTTGCTTTTAGACATGTTCAGCTACCAGTGGCTAGATACCTCTGTTAATGGGCAATTGTGCTACTTCTCCTCCTTGCCAGGACCATTTGAGGGAAGATCCTAAGAGAAGATAACTGCAAGGGAGAAGCACTGCATCTCACCCCTTCAGAGAGGGAACCCACACTTGCTAGGAGTCCTGCATCCCAGGCTGGTTAGAGGGGCCTCAGATCCACTGCTTGGAAGCATACAGTCCTCATCCTGCAATGGTCAGGAACGTGTGCAGGCAGTGTCATGGCTGTGCAACACAGCACTTCGTTCATTTGCCTGAAAGGAGGCGTGTTTGTGTGGGAATTGGGACTTCTAATTGCCAGGCTCTCTATCTGACTTACCAGCAACACTAGTGCACTAATTTACAGGCTGTGTAAAGCACGTACCTGTGGATTTCTTGCTCTTCAACAGGTGTTTTAAAAGAAAGAGACAAATACAGCTGCCTGTTGTGAGGAGCCAGCCCTGCTAGGCATACTTAGCAGCCCCCAGGGAGTACCTGCACCCTGCTTTGCAGTACTGGCCAGGTTTCTAGTTCCACACAACTGTTGGAAATAGTACTATTTACAGTAATAGAGTCTAGGCTTCATCTTCAGCTAGAGGAGAGAGCAGCTTCACGTGGCTAAAGGTAATCCCCTTCCCT